TCCCGTCCTTAAGAACCTCAGCGGTATCCTTCAAAAGAATCTGCCAATTCTCCACTCAAATAAACGAATGGCAGAGGTCTTTAAGGAGCCCCCATTGGCTGCATACAGACGCCCGAGGAACCTGAAGGACATGGTAGTAAGAACCAGATTGGACAATCCATTACCTAACGGGGGCTTTAAAACTTGCTCTGACAGAAGATGTCTTCTCTGTAAGTACAGCTCTGACACAGACAGTTTTAACAGCCCCGTTACAGGCCGCAGCTACAAAATACTAGGGAATTTGTCCTGTCAAACGGACAACTGCATTTATCTCATCAGTTGCAAAGTTTGCTCCAAACAGTATGTTGGTGAAACAGGAGATCTCCGCAGGAGAGTCAATAATCACCGTTCTACCATTAGGACCAAAAAACTCAATGAACCCGTTGGGGAACATTTCAACCTTGAAGGTCACAAATGGGAGGACATGACAGTAGTGGTTATTGACCATAATCCAAGATGGACAGACGCGCAGAGAAAAGACAAGGAAAAGTTCTGGATGCACAGGCTGAAGTCATTCCGCCCTAATGGTATTAACAAACTTAATGACTTCACCAGGATGAACGTGAACTAGACCCAATCCCGGATTGTAACAAACAAGTTCATTCTCTCTATATAGTGTAAACTTTACCGTTAATACGTATTAGTAATCCTGGAACAACCTACCCAAATATTTACAGCTCACATTTTTGTTTATTTCATTTTTCCGATTTCCAAATTTATAATATATCCAAATTCATATTTCAAAATTGCCCTTCCATATTATCTTTCTTTAATTTCTTTTTATCATGTAGAGTTACGCTATTCTGAGAGAATAAGACAATGTACGATTTACTGTTGGCCGTAATTAATTAGCGATAATTAATTCGTTCAATTATGTAAATCACACTTCACCAGACTACACCCGATAAACTGGACGCAATTCATAGCGCTCCGAATTTCTTTGTTCACAACTGTTTATAAACTCCAAATTAAACATGTAACATTGTAAATATTTAGTGTTTGGTAGTTTAGTAGTAGTGCTAGTTGTTTTTGCTTCTCTATTTCCTTTGTTTTTATGACTTCTTAACTTTTTTCTTTGTCCTGAGGAAGGGACAGGTTGTCCCGAAAATTTGACAATTATTATTGTTCGTGTCGTTGGTCATTTTTAGTGCTTTATATATATATATATATATATATATATATATATATATATATATATATATATATATATATATATATATATATATATATATATATATATATATATATATATAATATACAGAGGAAGAGTAAGGCGAGTAAAGTGTTATAAAGTACTTTAAGTCCGTAGTTTGTCAACAGCTTCCATAGCATAGTGAGATGAATGTCTGACTATCATGATGAGGGTACCGGGATCAATTCTCAGTGGTACCAGCATGTTTTTTTCTTAATAGTAGAGGCACGGGAGAATTTGAACATAGCAAATACCGTTTTCAATGTAATTTCAATGTAATTCACAATTCTCCATTCCTGAAAAATAATGGAGCGCTCAAACAAAAGAGGGACGTCACAAGTGGATTTTAACTACATACCATACATTGCTAGAACTGAGTTTGATTATGGTGAATATGAATGAATATTGTGATGCTAGGTTTTCTTATCCTCACAACATCAAGGATCCTGAGCCTACTCATGGCCATGAGGCCAGTAATAAAAAATGATTTGTTTGATGTATTCCAACCAGCCCATTAAAATAGCCCCTATCCAGTCATTTTCTTCAGTATTTCAAATTCTTTTTTTAAATAGATTATCGGAATTGTTTTTAAAGTTTAGGTCTGTCAATTTTCTAAGATACTTTTTAGATTAAAAGATTTTATAGAAATATATACATGTGATTTATTTAATTTGTTTAGCTATCAGGTGTCTATAATGAAAATTTCTAAGTCTGTGGTTTATGTGATTGTCAAAATGTTAGAAAATATTAAGAAAAAAAAACTACCCACCTTGAAAAATGTGGATTGGGTTACAAAACCTTGACATTGTGAGGATGGAGTACATCAAACAAAAAGATTTTTAATGATGGCCTGGGACCTCCGACAAACTTTATTCATTTTTAAGGGCTGACTGAAGCAACATTTTATGGGAAAGTACAAATCCTGATTGTTTTTCTTTTCTTTCAACCAATTACATTAGACTCTATACTTTGGTGACAATCAGTGTGTAATGTGTATACTTTTGGTGACAGTTATTAATCTGTAATTTGTAATGAAGGGTCAGCTGCTGTCATGTAGGTATGAATCTTACTCAACACAACATTTTTTCTGTAAAATAATCATGGTATTTCTTCTGTTTTTGCATTTGTAACTCTGATGTCCCTGCAAACGAAATAAGGGGGTATATATATAAGAATCACCTTGTCTGTCTGTCTGTGCAATCTTGTCAGAGCTATAACTTTGTAATGGGGAATCATTGGCAGCTCATACTTGGTACTACAGAGATTATTTAACACCTGAAGGTGTGTCATGACATTGATTCAAGGTCATTCCAGCAAGTTGAAGGTCACTGAAAGAAAAAGTATAAAATTTTTATCTGGGCACTGACTGGAGAATCATTGGAAGCTCATACTTGGTACAGAGATTGTTTATGACTAGGTGTGTCTTGACCTTGATCCAGGGTTATGCCAGCAAGTTCAAGGTCTCTGACAGATAGGGAATATCATTCTTGTCTGGGCTATAACTTTGTAAATTAGAATTAGAAAGCTCATATGTAATATAAAAATTTTTATGACTTGAGGATGTGTCATGTCCTTGACTGGAAGTGTTTCAGGCAAGTTCAAGGTCACTGGCAGGAAAAAAGTATTAAAACTTTGTGCAGGCTATAACTTTGCAAAAAATGGAAATTTATGGGATGCTCATACTTGGTACAAAGATTGTTGATGGCTTGTGGTTGTGACCTTGTCCCATTTCTGGTAAGTTCAAGGTCACTGGTTTATGAAGTGTAAAATTCATGACTGGTCTATAATTTTTAGTGGAGAAATACTGGATGTCCATATTTCATTATAAGATTGCTTTTGACCAGATAATGTGTCTTTTTTTTTTAACCAACCAAGTTCAAGGTCACTTTACAAAATTTTGAATGGGCACTATAAAAAATTGCAAGTGGGGGGGGGGGTTATTTGTTAGTTTGCTCACAGTTCCTATAGTTCTAAATTCACAAATTTTCTACACATTAATACATGCATATTAAACTTGGAACTAACTTTCTGTTTACATTTTATGTCAACTTATGAAAGCCCCAACATGATCGGTGCATCTCAATGAGAGAAGCAGGAACATGGACTGGGGACCCCTGATGTTGTGAGGATGGGGTTAGCTTTTGTTGTTGACTATTGTTTACAAATTTCTTAGATGCCAAGAAAGGGAAAAGCATCCCAAAGAGCCAGAGATAAAGTTCACAGCAGATGGCTAGCAGAGACTCTCTCAAAGGATGGTAAGGATTCTGTTTCAGGTGCAGATCCTTTAAATGCCTTGAAGTTGGTACCTCTTCAAGGAAGTCTGCCTATCCCTGAGAGGGGTAACATACCAATGTCTGACTCGCCGTCGTGCGTTTGTACACCAGCGAGTGTACCTTCACCAGAGTGTGAAGCAGGGCAGGCGCCACTAACTGACTCGCCGCGATGCGTTTGTACACCAGCGAGTGTACCATCACTGTCAGAAGTGGGTGATGCAGTTAGTAAGACAAATCAGAAAAGGTGCAAGATTCAAAATGAGGAAAATATACAGAACAAAAATGAGAAAGAAATACATGAGAACAAAATAGAAAAATTAAAAAAGAAAACTGAAGAAATGCCTGAGAACAGAATAGAACAGAGATTTCATGATGACAGAAGCCAGGAGTCATACCCCCAGAGAAGGAATATTCAACTAGAGGATGGGAAAGAAAAGAGAAAAAAAGTACAAATGGGTATTGGTATTGGAATGTTTTTATCTGTGCAAGGAAACTTTCATCAGGGCTGTACTGATCTTTTTGGAATTACAAGTGGTAAACAATGTGTGGCTAATGCATTATCAAGCATAATTTTTTCTAAGGTAAAAGTTTCTTGGTTGTCAGCAGATATTGACAGAATTTTGATAACTGGGAATGAACTATATGGTTATCTGCAAGCAAGTTCAACTGTGCAGAATGAGTATTTATTAATAAATGAGCTACCAAGTGAGATAGAAGTTTATGACAAATGCTTTTCTGTGCAAACTTTTGAATCACAAGTTGGTTTAATGCGAAATGATGAAAGATTAGGAATTGATGGTGAATCGTTTGGCATGTCCATTCTAGATGCATTGCAAGGGTCATTTGAAATGGCAGAATGTTCTTTTGTGTGTTTTGGTGGAAACACTTTTTCTGTGATGAATGTTGGCAAATGATACTTTCTTTTTGATTCCCACGCACGAGATCAGAAAGGATTACTTGATGCCAATGGGAAAAGTACATTGATTGGAATAGAGACGTTGGAAGGTGTGGCACAACATTGTTCACAGTTGGCATTATCTCTCTCTATTGACCAGAACTTGCAGTTTGAACTAACTCCCGTAAATATCATTGAATTAGGTACAGATGTCATACAAGTAATAGAGGAAAGTTCATCTGATAGATTAGCAGGATTTAAAAAAGATGATGTCCTTCTTGACAGATATTTTTATGATCAAGAATGTAGACAGAAAGATGTGGTCAAAAGAAAAGAGGAAGGAAAGATCAAATGTTCTAGAAAAGAGTACATTAAAAATTACATGAAAAACTAGAGAAAAAAAAAGAACATGCTAGGAATATTGAGAAAGTAAGAGACAAAATGGCAAAGCAAGAAAGAAGATTAGACAATAAAAAAAGAAACATTGAGAGAGGAAGAGAAAGAACAGGAAGGCAATTGAAACGACAAGACAAAGACATGAGAAACATTGAGAAAGAAAGAGAAAAAAACAGCAAAACAGGAAAAACGACAAGACAAAGAAATGAGACACATTGAGAAAGAAAGGGACAAAACAGCAAGACATGCCAAGCGGTTAGACACTGAAATAAGGAAAATTGAGAAAGAAAGGGACAAAACAGCAAGACAAGCAAAACGGTTAGACAAAGAGTCGAGAAACATTGAGAAAGAAAGGGACAAAACAGCAAGACAAGCAAAACGGTTAGACAAAGAGTCAAGAAACATTGAGAAAGAAAGGGACAAAACAGCAAGACAAGCAAAACGGTTAAACAAAGAGACAAGAAACATTGAGAAAGAAAGGGACAAAACAGCAAGACAAGCAAAACGGTTAGACAAAGAGTCGAGAAACATTGAGAAAGAAAAAGACAAAACAGCAAGACAAGCAAAACGGTTAGACAAAGAGTTGAGAAACATTGAGAAAGAAAAAGACAAAACAGCAAGACAAGCAAAACGGTTAGACAAAGAGTTGAGAAACATTGAGAAAGAAAGGGACAAAACTGCAAGACAAGCAAAACGGTTAAACAAAGAGACAAGAAACATTGAGAAAGAAAGGGACAAAACAGCAAGACAAGCAAAACGGTTAAACAAAGAGACAAGAAACATTGAGAAAGAAAGGGACAAAACAGCAAGACAAGCAAAACGGTTAGACAAAGAGTCGAGAAACATTGAGAAAGAAAGGGACAAAACAGCAAGACTAGCAAAACGGTTAGACAAAGAGTCGAGAAACATTGAGAAAGAAAGGGACAAAACTGCAAGACAAGCAAAACGGTTAAACAAAGAGACAAGAAACATTGAGAAAGAAAGGGACAAAACTGCAAGGCAAAGCAAGAGAAATGACCAAATATTTAGATTTTCTGAGAAAGAAAAAGAGAAAATTGCTAAACAAAAAGAAAGAACGAATATAGATGTAATGAATAATGAGCGTGACAGAGATATCAGAAGAAAACGGAAGTGTAGGGAAGATTCTGCATTTTGTGAATTGGAACGCATTAGAAAATCTGTGAAGAGAAATAATTTGGATTATCGTGAGAATGAACAAACTAGAGAAAAGAGTGCTAAAGCCCAAAAAAGAAAAGATCCTCATTTTTGTAGGACGGAAAAGGTTGCAAGAAAACAGAGAAAGTATGGATCAACACTGACAGAAACAATATCGGTATTTAACAAAAAAATAGAAGAAGGACCATTCTATGTATGTACTTGCTGTCACCAGACCTGGTTTTCTCATTCAGTTGTAGATAGCAGCTTTCTTAGAAAAAATTTACCATCTGAAGATGTTGCAAAATTTCTCACCAAATATATATCAGTTGGAGGAAAAGAGTGGATATGTTTAACCTGTAAGAAATCAATACAAGAAAAGAAAATGCCAAAGTTGTCATTAGCAAACCATGCACAATTTCCTACCAAACCTGAAGAACTTGAACTTCATCAGTTAGAAGAACGTCTCATTGCTTTACGGATTCCATTTATGCAGATAAGAGAGTTGCCTAGAGGAAGACAGTTATCTATAAGAGGAAATGTTGTTAATGTTCCAGTAGATATCCAACCAACTGTAAACTCTTTACCAAGACAGTTTAACAATGACATAACAGTTCCAGTACGTTTAAAGAGGAGACTAAGTTACAAAACTTGTGATTTTGTGGAAAATGTGAGACCACAGCATGTAATCATTGCATTACACTGGTTGATGAGGCATAGCCAAATGTACAAAGATGCAAAAATTCATTTAGATGAAGACTGGGAAGCCAGATAGCAGTGAAATCATTTCAGAATATTTTAACACAAGCACATCTGAGTGTACTGAAGCAAGGAATACAAACCTTGAAGGCATGTTACATGAGTGTACAGAAGGAAGGAATACAAACCTTGATGGCATGTCAAATGTGTTAGGAGAGAGTCATTTTGAAGAAATTGATGAAAGAGAGGGGAATTCTGGTAGTTGTGACACATTACTGGATGATGCAAATCCTATTCAAGATCAGGTGTATACATTTGCCCCAGGAGAAGGACAAACCCCATTGAGTTTGTACAGAGATAAGGATGCAGAATACTTGTCTTTTCCAACCATTTACTGTGGTCAGAGGATGGCATCAAATGATGATCGTGAAGTTAAAGTTCATTACAGTGATCTTGTGAAATGGGAATTAAGAAACATTGACAGACGTGCAGCACAAACAATGTGCCAAATTTGTTTTTCAAAATGAAGAAAATTCAGATGAAACAGATATCAGACAAAGTCAGTCTTGTATTAAGAAGATGCAAAGGCACAGACAAGAAATTAACAGCTGGTGATGTTCGCAATCAGGAAGTTCTTGACAAGATAGCAAGATTAGATGAGGGATATTACATTTTCAGAACTTTACGTAATAGTCCTCCTTATCTTGAGGCAAAAAAGAAAGAGTTGTTTGCCATGATTAGACAATTGGGATTACCAGCATGGTTTGCATCTTTATCAGCAGCAGATACAAGATGGCCTGAGTTACTCAAAACGCTTGCTCAACTCAATCTTAAGAAATCGCTTACTGATGAGGAGATAGACAGTATGACATGGGCTGAAAAAACTGACTTGGTGCAAAAAGATCCAGTGACATGTGTTCGCTTTTTTGATCATAGAGTACAAGTGTTTATCAATACTGTTTTGAAGAGTGAGCATCATCCTGTCGGGGAACTGATAGATTTTTTTTATCGTGTTGAATTTCAACACAGAGGATCACCTCACATTCATATGCTCATGTGGATTAAAGATGCTCCAAAATTTAAACAAGATCCAGTTACTGACATTGCAAAATTTATAGACAAGTATGCTTCTTGCTCTGCAAGCTGTGCTGATGAAATTGCACCATTTGTAGAATTACAAATTCACAAACATTCCAGAACATGTCGGAAAAAAGGAAAAGACATTTGTCGATTTGGATTTCCACAGCCTCCTATGGATTCAACTTTGATCTTGGAACCTTTATCAGCAGATGATCCAGATTCATTGAGATACAAAGAAATTTTTGCAAAGGTTAAGAAAGAATTAGCAGATATGAAAGAAGGGAAAAATATTTCTTTCAATGAATTTCTACAATCACTGAACCTGGAGAAAGAAGATTATATAAATTCAATCAGAAGTTCCCTTGATGGACCACAGCTTTTTCTGAAGAGAACCCCTTGTGAAATAAGAGTGAATCCTTACATGAAAAATGTTTTGACAGCATGGCGAGCTAATCATGATTTGCAGTTTGTCTTAGACCCATACGCATGTGCCATGTACATTGTGTCCTACATTAGCAAGTCTCAACGTGGTATGAGTAACCTGCTTGATCAAGCATGTAAGGAAGCAAGAGAAGGAAATATGGATTTGAAAAAACAGGTTCAACACATGGGAAACAAGTTTTTGAATGCAGTTGAAATAAGTGCACAAGAAGCTGCATACTTAAATTTACAATTGCCTTTAACAAAAAGTTCAAGAGATGTTGTATTCATAAATAGTTCACCACCAGAAGAAAGAACTTTCCTGTTAAAAAGTAAATCTGCATTAGAAGAATTGCCAGAGAATTCCACAGACATTCACGCAAGCAGTATAATCAAGCGTTATTCTCAAAGACCAAGGCAGCTTGAAAACTGGTGTTTAGCAGACTATGCTGCAGAATTAGAAATTATATACCCAAAAGAATTTAAAGAGGATGACGAGTTTCAAGAGCAAAATGATGATACTGAAGATGAACAAGAATTGATAGACTTAAAAGATGAAGAGATCAATTCAGAACTTATTAGGATAGTTTTGAAAAATGGCATCATTATTAGACAAAGGAGGAAGGCAAAATGCATCCGTTATGTCAATTACTCCATCAAAGTAGATTCTGAAAATCATTTTAGAGAAAGAATTTTACTCTTCCATCCATGGAGAAAGGAAGAAATAGAAATTAAAGGAAACAACTCAACTTATGAAGAAAAATACAACCAACTGAAGAGTTTTATAGGTGCTAAAGTAAAGAAGTATGAATGCAATGCAGAGAAGCTTGAAGAGGCACAGAGGCAAGCTGAAGAGGTTGATGTACAATTTGATAGAGTAGCACCTAGTGCAGAGCAAACTGAACAAGAAGACTTAGGTGAAGAGAGTAGGGAAAGTGAGGCATTTTTGTATTTTGACCCAAAGCGTTCGGTAAATCATCAGAACTATGACATAGGAATAGATCTTGGATTACCTTGTAGTTCTAACAGTGATGATCAAACTCATCAGTACAAAATGACCAATGAGTTGTATTTTCAGTTAGTTAGCAAGCTAAACAAAAAGCAAATGGAGTTTTTTACTCACGTGCTTCATTGGATTATAACCAAAAATGAACCACTTAGAGTTTTCCTAACTGGTGGTGCAGGAGTTGGAAAGTCTGTTGTTGTAAGAGCTTTGTATGAAGCACTCACACGACACTATTGCTCTACTGAAGGTGAAAATCCAGATGACTGTAAGGTTTTACTTTGTGCTCCAACCGGTAAAGCTGCATTTAATATAAAGGGACAGACAATACATTCAGCATTCAAAATTCCAGCAAGTCAGGGGTTTAACTGCAAGCCGCTTGATAGTGAATCTTTGAACAGTCTTAGAACAAAGTACAAATATTTGTCAACGGTCATCATTGACGAAGTTTCAATGGTCGGAAATTCACAGTTAAATTGTGTACATGAGCGTTTGAAGCAGATAAAAGGCAGTTAAGAATACTTTGGAGGTATCAATGTCATTTTGATTGGGGATCTTTTCCAGTTAAAGCCAGTGATGGATGGATGGGTTTTTGATGACATAAAGAAAAATTTTGGACCATTAGCAACAAACTTGTGGCGAGACTTGTTCACCATGCTTGAGCTTACAGAAATAATGAGACAGAAAGATGATGTTCAGTTTGCTGAGTTACTTAACCGTTTACGAGAAGGAAATCAAACTGAAGCTGATATACAGACATTGAAGCAGCGCTGTGTAGATGAATCACAATCAGAATATATCAGAAATGTTCCACGATTGTATACAAGAAATGAAAGTGTGAATGCTTACAACAACCAAGTGTTTCTGTTGGCTCAAGGTGAAAAGGTTAACATACCAGCTCATGATTCTGTAGTAGGAAGGGAAAATTTAATACAGCACTTGAATTTGCCAGATGACTCCTCTAAAACAGCTGGATTGGCTAAAAATGTTGCCATAGCACTCGGTCTTCAGTATGAAATAACTGCAAACTTACGTGTTGAGGATGGGCTCACAAATGGTACATCATGCAAGGTAGAGCACATAGACAGGAGACAAGAAAGCACAGAAAGACCAAGTATAATTTGGGTTTCTTTTGATGACAGAAATACTGGAAAATCATGGAGGTATCAATATAGACATCTGTTTGGGCCTGAAGTGGATAAGTCTTGGACACCAATATTTGATGTGAGAAGAAGCTTTCAGTACCTGCGACACACTGTTGTTCGTATACAATTTCCATTTCGACTTTCTGCAGCCAAGACTATACACAAATCTCAGGGGGACACAATGGATCAAGCTGTGATCAATCTTGATATGAATCCAAAATATACATTGCCACACATTCATTATGTTGCACTAAGCAGGGTAACAAAAATTACAGGACTTCATCTCTTGTGTTTAAATGAAAACAAAATTTGTGCATCTGAGAAGGTAAAAAAGGAAATGTTTAGACTTAGGACAGAAGCAAATGTTCAGTTATGTTTCCAGCCAATATACTCAATGAACAACCAGACTATAAATATTGCATTTCAGAATGTGAGATCACTGCATGCTCATTTTGAAAGTTTCAAAACTGAGCCAAATCTTCAACAGTGTCATATCATAGGAGTGGCGGAAACTTGGTTGACACCATCACATGGAAATGAAGACTATGAATTGGAGAATTACAACATGTTAAGATTGGATTTTACATTGAATCAGCAAAGTGGCAGACCCCATAGAGGCATTATTACATACATACGAAATGACTGTCAAATTATCAATCATGCTAGCTACTCAGACCAAGACTTAGAATGGCAGTATAGTGAAATAAAGTTCAAAAATGAAAATTATCAAATTATTGTTCTGTACAGAAGCCCAAGTTCCTCTATTGAAAGAGCAAGAAACAACTTAACCAACAAACTATGCAAAGTTCTCAAGAAACAACACAATATAATCATCATTGGGGATTTCAATATAGACTTATCTCATGGACGCTCATCAGTGGCAACATATATGTCTGAAGCTTTTAGTTGCAAACAAATTGTGTCAAAGGCTACCCATTCATCAGGATCATTGATAGACCATATTTATACAAACGTGGAATGTAACTGTATCACTGATGTCATTGAGAGTGTCTATTCTGACGACAAAATAATATATACATCTTTAGTTAGGGATATGCCAAATAAGACCCAGGAGGAAAACTAAGGTTCATTTTACTTTTTCATTAATGCATTGAAGCCAATGCCTCTTCAATGAAGTCTGCCTATCCCTGAGAGGGGTAACATAGCTATGTCTGACTCACTGTGTGCGTTTGTACACCAGCGAGTGTACCTTCACCAGTGTGTGAAGCAGGGCAGGCACCACTACCTGACTCGCTGCGTGCGTTTGTACACCAGTGAGTGTACCATCACTGAGTTGGTGATGCAGGTAGTTTTGAAAGTCATCCACATAAGGTGTTATTCACTTAGAGTGCATATCCCTCAGTAATTATTTCCCACTTAGTTTTCTGTAACCCCTGTAGCATTGTTAATACTATTGTAAATATAATA